TCTTTACCATGTTTTTTTTTTTTTTTTTTTTTTTTTGCTGTGTAACTTGCTGGGTGACCCTTGGTTTCATGCCCTGTACTCTCTACCTTATCACATGGAACTAATAACAGGCTTTCTGCCAGGATTGTGATAGCTTTGGGTTGATGGCATGAAGAAAATGAAAATTCTCATTCTGATTTCAAACAAGACCATACAACAAACCAAACCCAGATAGCAAGTCGTGATAGTAGGTCTGAATATTGCAAAGACATATATGAAATGTATACATCTCTCCCTCTCACAGGTAAAACGAAAGGTCTTTCTCAATGACAGCTTTATTTTTTTCTCTATACTCAGCTCTAACAAACACATTTTGTAATTCTGGGGATCAGGCCCGCTCATGTGACCCAACAGTTGCTTGAAGACATTTCTGGGTAAGACTTGGGGCTCTAGTCTTATAGAGGGAAAAAAAAATTACAAAAGGACAGATGAATGGAGTAAAGAACAAAGTTTTCTATCACAAATATGGCAACTGCAGGACAGATATTAGCATGCTACATTTTTATCTGCTTGGTGTTGAAAAAGAATAGTATTTTGTCTCTCTTAAGTATTAACTCAAAGTAGCTGTCTCAATTGTGTTCTGCAAATATTTTGTGATTTTTTTTTCCTGAAATTATGATTGACAGAAAGGAATTCTACAATTAAAGCATTTAGAAGCCCTCATGATTTCAGAAAAGGGAGTCCTTCTCTTTGCTGCTACAGTACCTATTTACACTAAAAATTGTGTGGTTGTCTTTTCAGTAGCAAATGATAAAGGTAATATCCTTTCACTTTATCTGAGGAACAGTAGAAACTTACCAGTGGCGGGGCCAGGGAAGGTGTAGTGGTTACATCTCTGGATTCCCACATGGCTGATGTGGTTCGAGTTCCAGACCTGGTGGCTTGAAACTCACGTCAGGTGCATGTACATGCAAGCTCAAGATCCCAGGAGGAGAGTGGAGAAGGGATTGTGACATGGCCATCCCCCCCTAGGGGATGGTGATTTCTTACCTTCCCTCTCACTGTCTCTGTCTCTTCTCTCTCTCTCTCCAGTGAACACATGTGCCCTAAGGCAAAAATCTCTAAAAGAAACAAACAAAAACAAAACAAAACAACAACAAAATACCTCACCAGTGGCATTTTCAGTATTCTTCCTAGAAATAAATGTCCCCAGTTATCTAACTAGTATGCACCTCAGGTATATAAGATACTTTTTGATTTATATATTTTAAATATTTAGAGTAAAAAATTAATGTGGAGAAAATTGGAATGCAGTGTAATAGTATGATAGTCTTAAAAACAATATTGCACTCTGTTTTCTTGATATGATTTAGCCTCGGCACACAACTTTTAAAAAATGTCTTGAATTAAAAATATTTTTCAATAAATTCTAAAATAGCTATTCATTTAATTGTATTTCTCATTATTATTTTAATTTGTCTGCCAGAGAGAGATGGAGTTGAGAAAGCAAGTTGCCAGGTCCAGAATTTGAATCACTTTGGGCCATGCAGGAGTCCAGCGCCTTAACCACCATGCCATCTACTGGCGCCACAACTTTATTTTTAAGTTTATTTTTTTCTTTCATAAGGGAGAAAGAGTCAGAGATCTCCCCCAACAGAATAGGTTCTACATGACACAGTCCACCCCTAGCCTGTCAGCCCAGACGCTGGTCATGTGTGCCTGCCATGTTCAGGGACTTTCCAGGCACCAATCAGGAACTTTCCCATGTCAGTCAACTTGCCAGAGCATTGTCTTACACTGCTCCACCATCCAGCCTACAACACACAACTTGAAAGTTGGATGATGCGTGAGTGCCCGCTGTCAACAGAGCTACCACCTCTCAGGGAGCATATATATCACCTGATTTTTCTGCTAAGTTAAACTTGAGGCTCTTATTGGATGTGAAGTGTGGACTTAAAACCTGTGAGAGGATGCCCACTTTGACCCCACTTCCTTTATTCAGGCATCTTATTTTCTTTCCTTTGTAAAACGTTTATTATTCAATTAGTTAACTGTTTTGTTGACCTTATTTTTCCCCTAAAAATGGAGGCGTTCCCCCTATTAGAACACAGTCCAAGATTATAGTAAGATACTGTTTTATGTATGGTTGAAGGACTTGGAAAAAGGTATTGAAACTGACATCATTGTAGGTGCTATTTGGAAAACATCAAAATGCAAAGGAGTCTTTAGAGAATATACATTTTTTTTCCCCCAGTGATTGTATCTAATTTAGCCCTCAAATTGCATTTTGTGCATTGGTTGACAAGTTTCAGAAGAGAAAGCAGTATTGGAACCAGCAGTTAGTGTAACGGCTATGTCGCTGGACTCCCACGTAGTTGACAGCGGTTTGTGTCCCGAACCCGGTGGCTTAAAACTCACGCTGGGCGCGTGTGTGTGCGTGCCTAAGATCCCGAGAGGAGAACGGAGGAGAATGATTGCGGCATGGCCATCCCCCCTGGGGGGTGATTTCTCACTTTCTGTCTCTCTGTCTCTCTGTCTGTCTGGCGAGCACACACGCCCTGTAGCAAAAACCTCTCAAAAAAAAAAAAAAAAAAGAAGAGAAGGCAGTATTTATGGGGAAGCAAGAGCATACAGTTATTAAAGTGACTGTGCCACCAAGTGGGCAATCGTAAAGCTACTGTTGAGGTAGAATTGCACTTTCCCTTATAAATGAGAATTTGACATTGAAAGTGCTCCTTCTGACACATACACACACACACGCAACTGATTCCCTGTAGCTTCGTGTGTTCTTTTCATAAAAGCTTTCATTGTTTCTTCAGCTGTAAGTACATATTAATGCTGTCCAAGCTTGGTATGCCAATGGCTGCTATTAAAATCATTTTCTCTCATTCTAATAACACACTTAGAGATGATTGGTAATAAAAACTCTCTTCCAGGAGGCTGCCTCCTCTCCTTCAAAATGGAGATCAAAGAGTCACGCTGTGAGGGTCGGTAAAGAAGAAAAGTCTCCCCGTCATAGAGCATGTGGTGTAACATAAAATAATGACAATTGTGATGTTCAAAGGAATAACATAAAAATCACACAGTAAAACTTCTTTATTATGCTTTTTCAGGGACTGGATGTTTTTACTTTATTATGTGAGGAAAGGTTGAGTTACAGACCCTTAGCTATTTCACAAAGCAAAATTTAGGCAGAATTTTTTCTTCTTCTACAAGAGGTATGCTTCAGTTAAGGCCTTTTATTTATTTAATTATTTTGGTTACACCATGACTACATACTTGACTAAATTTATGAACAAATCTAGACCTCTCTGGAAGTAGAAAGTCTAAATAATGGAAGATGCACACTGGTTGGTTATGTATATGTGTACATACAACACATTTATTACACTATTGCACATTAGAAATCAGGCTGTTTCTTTATTTTTAATTATTTACTAAGGAGAGAATAATAAAATCAAACAAATAGAAGATATAAACTATGACAGGAGGGAAGAGAACTACTTCTGTAAATTTCACCCTTGAATTTTAGGTTGAGTTTTTGGGAGTCACAGAAAAAGTCATTTAAAATAATTTTCAGGAGGCAAAAATTCTTTGAACCAAAAATTTCAGATTTGAGGAGCATGTTCAATTAGAATGTAAAAAATCTTTATCATCATACTTCAATGCATATAGCATTAGGCTCAAGGATTTTGAAGAAACCAAATTATAATTTTAAATTTAATTTCCTTAGGTTATTGTCTATTTTATAAAAAAAGAGACAAAATGGTTATAGAACTTCTCTTCTTCTTCTTTTAAAGAGTTTTGCCATAGGGTACATGGTGCAGAGAGACAGAAACAGTGAGAGGAAAAGTGAGAAATAATCCCTCAGGGGAGATGGCCACACCCAATCCCTCCTCCTCCATTCTCCTGAGATTTTGGGCACACATGCACACATGCCTGAAATGAGTTTCAAGCAACGAGATCTGGGACTTGAACCGCTGTAGGCCATGTAAAGTCCAGCACATTAACTGCTATGCCACCTGCTGTTCCCCATAGCATATGTTTTTAACATTAATCTGACCTTTATGCCTTTTGTATACTACTTTCAAAATAGCTTGGGGAAAATGAAATTAAAACTATGTTCACACAAAAACCTGCAGGTAAATGTTTGTAATGACTTTATAACTGCCCCAAACTGGAACAGCCCTAATGTTTATTGATTTGGGAATGGATAAACAAACTATAGAACCCCTATACATTGAAATACTATTTATCAACCAAAAGAAACAAAGTAGTGATCCGTGGATGAATCTCAAGTGCATTATGCTAAGTGAAAGAAGTCAGACTCAAATGCTCTATCCTGTATGATTCCATTTGTGTGATATTACAAAGCAGAACTACAGAGACAGAAGAAAAACTCAAAGAAAAGCAAAAACAGATGGGTGGTTGTGAGGGGGTTGACGTGGGGCGAATTCCAACTACAAAAGCAAATGAGGAAATTGTCTTTGAGATAGTTGAACCATTCTAGGACATTTGTCAAAACTCACAAAACTACACACTAAAAAAGGTGAATCCTATTGTATGTTCATGATACTTTCATTAAAACATTGCTTGGAAAATTCATTATCTTATTAACTTTCTTTCCAAGCAAACATTAAAATTTCATCTTTTTCTTTAGCTTTATAAAGTAATTTACTTAACCGAAAGACATCCAATGTTCCCCCTCCCCCCCCCTTTTTTTTTAAATAAACTGTAATATCAAAGTTTTGGTTATGGTTTTGAAAGTCTAAAACTTCTTTTCTCCCTCTTTCTTTCTCTCTCCTTCCTCCCTTCCCCCTCCTTCCCTTCCTCCCTTCTTCCCTTCCTTCTTTCCTTCCTTTTCTCTCTCTCTCTCTCTCTCTCTTTCTTCCTTTAATTTATAGATGGAAGCTGTATCCTCGGATGCTCCGGAATGTTGCCCAAATAGACCTGTCGACTTCCGTCTTAGGACAGAGGATCAGCATGCCGATATGCGCTGGGGCCACCGCCATGCAATGCATGGCTCACGTGGATGGGGAGCTTGCCACTGTGCGAGGTAGGAAGGGCCTCTGCCTAGGGACAGAGGCGCGTCCCTTTAGTGAGTCCCTTCTCTGTACACATCAGGCAGTCACTTCCCTGGATGTTTTTACATGTGGAAAAATTAAGCTCATTGGCCCTACCATCAAAATGCCCGTGCATGCTTCTTCTGCTCCTCTGCCTTCTAGCTGTGTGACTCTAAGCAAGGTACCCTCTCTGTGTCTTGGTTTCTACTTGATTGTAAAATGGGGATAAAATAGCACCTAGCTCACTGGGTTAATATGAGAACTGAATAAGTTCCCACATATAAAGTGCCTGGCACAGGATAATTGCTTAGTGACTATTATTAGTTATATTATGAATGTTAATATCAACATCTCTGAAAAATCTAGGTAGTAGCAGAAGTGGGATTTAGCTTTGCGACCACCCAGTTTCAAAGCCCTCCCTGGTTCCCCTGGAAAAAGTGATTCTTACAAAGAGGGAGCGAACGCAGTCACCTGGTCTGTTATGTTGTCTTCCAGTTTTAGATCATGATTCTTACAGATGAGCCATATTCTTGGTAGAGATTTTCAACTGCCTTAGGAAAGAGCATGAGAAAATCAAATATGGTATATACAGAAATCTCTTCCAAGGGCTAATTTATTAATTTTCTCAGTTCCCTAGCAACTATGAACATTTGAAAGGTTATGCTTTTACTGATAAATCTTCCCAAATCCTGCCTCAGAAATGCATGTAAAAGTTGGTAATGAATTCTATGTGATATCCTTTCATAATAGGCCAAAAGAGCATGAACCAAATTCTGTTTTAAAGCATTTTAGTTCTGAGAATAGATGATCTTGTGGACTCACTTCTCCCTTTGGAAAGTCTGCTGCAAAATTCTACCAGATTTATCAGAATGGTACAATGAGATTGTGCTGATAGACTCAGGTCAGAGGCTGGCAGCATCTTTAATTCTAGGATCACACACTGGTAAGTAATTTTGGACCCCAGCCATTTTATAGTAATTAAATATAGACTGAGAGAAATGGAAAAAAAGAAAAAAGAAAGAAAAAAGAAAAATGCTACATGGATATATGTCTGCTTAAAGCTAGATAAGAAAGGCCTTTTTAAGCATGACAACACAGGAAACAATCATTGAAACAAAAGCAAACAAATGAACATGAAAAACTAAAGCTTCAGTGCTCTCAAATTTCTATAAAAATTGGAAGCAAATGGCAAACTAGAAAATTGAAGAAAAAAAAAAAACCATGGCATAAGGTTAATAATACAATATATAAAGAGCCCTTATATTTGAATAAGAAAATAACATATTACCCAAAAGTGACCAAAAGATCTAAGTGCACAAAAGATAAATATAGAAAATTCACTATTTGAGACGTAAAAGTCGCCAATAAGCATATGACACCTACACTGTTTCACTATTAAGCAAGAAAGTGCAAATTATCGCCATATATTTTATTTTATGGATATTAATAATTAAGGTTATGTAAAGTATGGCAAGATTAGGAAGAATATGTATATTTGAAACACTGATGCAAAGTGGAACAATTTTTCAAGAAGATAACTTGGAATTGAACTTAACATCAAAACTCCAAAAATGTGAATTCCATGCATTATAAATTCTCCTGTTGGGATTCCAAGGAAATAATATTGATTTTGAGAAATGGCATCACCACAAGGATTTTCATACTCCTTTTATTTTTGGTAGTACAAGAGTAGGGGGAAAAAATGCCTCATGTCCCATAATTGGAGATTGGCTGCAAAAAAGAGGATGTATTAAAAATGGGATAAAATTTGTGCCAGCCCCACAGTTTAGTAGTGAAGTGCTCCAGATCCCACATGGCCAACAGCAATTTGAATCTCAGCCCAAGTGGCTTAAAAAACTTGTGTGTGGGGGGAACCAGCAGTTAGCGTAATGGCTATGTCGCTGGACTCCCACGTAGTCGACCACGGTTCGTGTCCCGGACCTGGTGGCTTAAAACTCACGCCGGGCGCTTGTGCATGCGTGCCCAAGATCCCGAGAGGAGAATGGAGGAGAAGGGATTGCGGCGTGACCATCCCCCCTGGGGGGTGATTTCTCGCTTTCTGTCTCTATGTCTCTCTCTGTCTGTCTGGTGAGCGCACGCGCCCTACAGTGAAAATCTCTCCAAAAAAAAAAAAAAACCAAAACAAAACTTGTGTGTGTGTGCTGGGCTTGTGTGTGTGTGTATGGGCCCAAAAGTCTCAACAGGATGGAGAAATGGAGGAGAAGAGATTGCCACACTACCATGCCCCATTGGGAATTGGTTTCTATCTCTCTTGATTTGTGGTTACATCTTGAATTGAGGATATATCTTGATAAATTCATTGTTAGTTGAAAATACCATTTGATTGAAATGCCTTTAATATACTTAACCTCCGGAACATGATAGTTTATACTAGCTTACCTTAAATGCGCTTAGAACACTTGTATTAGCCTCCAGTCAGACAAAATAATCTAACACAAACCCTGTCATTTTATAATATAATAAAGCGTTGAATGTAATTTAAGAATACTACACTGAAAGTGAAAAACAGAATGGTTGTGTAGGTATACCAAGTATGATTTCTACTGAATGTATATTACTTTTGCACCATCATAATGCAGAAAAATCTAAAGTTGGGGACCATCTACATTACTTCATTTGATATTTAACAGGTGTCATTGTCCCATTTTGTGGCCAAATAGCTAAAATCCAAGAGAAATCAGGTTTTCACAGCTAGTAAGTGACAGGATTTACTCTCCAACTCACTTCTAATAATTCCAAGGCCAGAGCTACTTATTTTTGGTGGGGATGAGTGGGGGAGCTTCCTTAGAAACTAATTTGATAGTTCAAGAAGGGCTATTTCGCTCAACATTGTTTTCCCCAGCACTAATCTTGAGGCACTGTTATATTCCTATGAGAGTTGTATCCCTTTAGATTTATTTAACAAACATGTATAAAGTGATTACCATGTTCCAGGCAGTATTCTAGGTGCTCTACAAGGATGAAACAATGTTTGCAGAAAATGCATATTATGAAAAGACTTATGCATGGATTTCAACATTTTTTTTGCATCAAAACAAACTCATATTTCAGTTCCATTTTCTGCAAGCCTTTTGAAGTCTCCTCGGATTAAAGCACTGAATCCTCAGAGCAGCTCAGAGAGGTAATATCATTGAACCCGTTCTACACAGAGAATCTGAAGTACGTACCAGAGAGGTAATTTGCCTTGTATTAAGAGATCTCTAAATAACAGAGATGGGATTCAGACCCAGGCAGTGTGTTTCCCAAATCTGGGCTCTTAACTACATTTACTGCTTTTGTTTATTTTATTTTGAGAGATTTTTGCCATAGGGCGCATGCACTCGCCAGAAAGACAGAGACAGAGAGAGAGAAAGAGAGAAATCACCCTCCGGGGGGGTGGCCATGCTACAATCCCTTCTCTTCCATTCTTTTCTCAGGATTTTGGGTGTACACACACATGTGCTTGGCATGAGTGAGTTGCAAGCTGCCAGGTCCAGAACTCAAACCATGTTCGACTACATGGGAGTCCAGTGATGTAACCATTATGCCATCTGCTGGTCCCCCTGTGCTGCTTTTAATTGACAGAAAATCTTAGAAAGTATAATGAAGAAAAGCCCATTTATCAATTACAACCCTCTAGAAGTAATCAGATTATAACTTTAATTACACACAATACATGGTCCCCCCAAGGAGAGTGAAGTATGTCATAGACATTTGGATAAGGTGGCAGAACCAAGAGGGTATAGTGACATTGAGGTCACAGAGGAATTAGAGATGACAATGAAAAGCTATACACGCTGCCATAAGAAATCTAAGATCCTTGATCGAGTTCCTGTTAGAGCAGCATCACAGTTTTTAAGGGGAGTTCCGGAGTTCCAAAAGTTTGTTGAAAAAGATAATGAAATCTTATGAAAATGTGAGTTTATTTTGGTGAGAAAAATAAAAAAGAAAGCCAAGCATAGATTTCAAAATAAGTATTTTCCCTGAATCTTTTGAAGACTCCATGTATAATCTGAATTTTGCTAAAAAACTCTCTCAAGGCTTGTGACATTCTTAAGGTTTTTGCCTCTGTTCCAATGACCTTCTATGAGTTGTTGGTGTATTCAATATTTAGCTGAATCCTGACAGTCAACGGTCACCAGCTCACAAGGGAGAGTATCCCTTAGTTGGTATCTTTTAGGGTGGGTTAAGATGTTGCTCGAAAAGAAAAAAGTAGTGGCAGAAGAAGATACTGTTAGTATCCTGGATACATCCCCTTGTTACTTCCCATTTCTGTCAGATCCTGTGGCTTTCTGCCTGATACTTTCTCTTGCAACAGGGTCCCATCTCACTTGGTAGGTTGGGAGTAGGAGGGCCTCTCTCAGTCAGCAATGGAAAGCAATTGCTGAATAATACTCCTGCTCTTTCTCCTTTTAATCAGCATATCTATAGCATTTTCTAATATTGAGGTTTTTGTTGTTTTGTTTGTTTTTGAGAGATTTTTGCTATACCGTGTGTGTGCTTGCTGGAGAGACAGAGAGACAAGGAGGATGGCCACACTGCAGGCCCTTTTCTACCATTCTCTTTGGACTTGGGGCATGTACACACATGTGCCCAGTATGAGTTTCAAGTCACCAGATCTAAGGACTCAAACCATGGTTGACTATGTGGGGGTCCAGCACCTTTACCACCACACCACCTGCTGGCCCTAATACTGAGTTTTCTAATAATCCAGAGGGCATAGAGTGCCAGTTGCCCACAGAAGTCACCTGCTCATTAACATGCCTTCCATCATTGTCTGCCTTTCTGTTCCTGTCTTGCTTCTCCACGCCTTCAACACATATTGGGATCATTCCCAAATAAAATGGTATGTGTGGTGGTTAAGGCACTGGTCTGAAATGGACGACTGCAGTTGAAGTTCTGGACCTGGCAGCTTGAAAATCATGCTGGTTGCAAGTGCATCCATGTTCCACATCCCAAGAATGGAGGAGAAGGAATTTGGAGTGGCTGTTCC